GTGCGCTTCCTCCAAGTCGACAGCGTGGGGGGTCGGCTTTTCATGATCATAAAGCTCAGAGAAAGGCGCCACATCAATCTGTGGTGGTCTGCTCTGTTTGCCCAGTTGTTCGAGGGTTGGCTGACCCGATGGGGCAGCAGTTGTGGATGCATCGAAAGTCGGAGCAGGTGTCCGAACAGAGCTGGGGGGATTGTGCCGAAGCTGTTGGCGCGAGGATGTGCCCTGGCTTGTGGGGTGCTGCTGTTGTGCGGCTTGGCTGCCCTTGATGCGGAGGGCGATGCGCTGAACCTGCGAAGCCAATGTTTTTTGTGGGACCTTGGGTGGGGTAGGTGGCCTTTGACGTGGCTGTGTGGCTCTGTAATGCCACTTGTTGGCATCATCATCACGCACTGTAGAATAGCTGCGGAGCACAACCGAGGTCCGAGGAGGTGTCGATGAAGCACGCCTGGTGTCCCTGCGAGAACGGCTTCTGCGAGTGTCGCGGGATCGATGGTGTCTGCGTCGGCGGTGCTGTCTGCCGCTGCTTGCAGGTCGTGCTCGGCTGCGCGTGTGTCGACGGCGTCTAGTGCTCGCGGTGCGAGTCCTGCTGCGTGTGGGTGAATGCCGTCGTCTGCGTGGCAGCGGAGGATGATGGGGGGAAGTACGGGCTGCGAGCTGGTCAGTGTCTGCCGATCCCGTATCTGGGGGTGGTTGTGCGGGTGGTACTGTATTGACAGAAGGGGTATTGGCTGTGTTTGTTGGTTGTTGTTGTTGGGGTGTCATTGCCGGTGTCTGCGGGGCAGTGTATGCAGCATCGGCAGTGGGAACACTGGTGGGGTGGGGTTGTGGAGCTTGTAGAATTGTTGTTGGCGGCGGCATGTGGGATTGTTGAATGGGTTGTGTGGGAGGGATGTTGCAGGGTGCAAGTTGAGGTTGTGGGGTAGGTGGTGCAAAAGGAAAGTTGAATGTAGTAGGTTGGGCCTGATGCTGTGTCGAAGTAGATGGGCTCATGGGAGAAGCTGTTGGATGGGTAGGCAAAGGAGCAGGATTCATGAGCGGTGTGGGTTGTTGTGACATGAATTGCTGGGGTGGAGGTTGTTGTGGCATCTGGGGTTGTGGTGTGCTGAGATGTGCGTAGATTGTCGGATGCTGTGGAATAGGAGTGGTGTGTCCACACGGCATCATGGGGAAGCCGTGTGTTTGCTCAAGAGGAATCGTAGTGGGTTGTGTTGGCAGTGTGGGCTGCTGAATGGCAGCAATGCCGGTTGGCATCATTGCTGGGTAGCTTTGGGACTGCGGTACCCAGGTGTTCTGGTGAAATTGATTAAGCACCGGTCGGGCTGTTGGTGCATATGGTGTTGCTGGTGGCTGCGCGGCAAAATAATCCGGCCACATAGCTGCAACGAAGCGGGTGAAACACACACAGTTGCACAAGCAAAGTGCAGGCTGTCCTGATTGTCCCTGCTGGACTGATTTGAGAGGTCGTAGACGGAGAGAAGGAAGGTGGAGGGCCGAGTACTCTCCGGAGAGAGCGCTGCTTCACTTGCTGTAGACATCTTTACCACGTCTGCACTCATGTCAGATGCACATGCCCTTGCAGTCCCTGAGGAATAAAGAAGTGAAAAAATACGGGGCAGAATAGAGAGGTAGACCTGCTCACTAGACGCACTTTACCGCATTAGCCGTCCCTTACTGCACCTGCACTCATGTCAGACTCACATGCGAGCATCAGAGAGAGAGAGATAAAGTAGCATCTGGAGAATCTGAACGATCTGAACGAAGGCTGAACACCCGGTTCATCACCGGTCTCCCCGGAGGGTCACCACGGCGCCATGACGGAAAGCCGTTGCTCTGGAGTCTCATCGACCCACGCTGATCACACTGATGGATTCGGCCAAGAGTACGAGTGCAAGAGGAAAAAGAGAGGCATGTTGTTCATGTTGCAAAAGCTTGTCAGATTGTGGCAACCGTACAACTTGTTTGTTGTCGAATCAACCGCCAAAAGTGGCAACTGAAAACTCTCTAATCTTGGCACAGGGGCCTTCTAATCGGGCTGGCACAGGGGCCCCAGCTCAATTTTGTGCAGGTACAAGGTTTGGCGTCCCAAACCTCTTCCCATGGTGTTGCTAGCTTCGTTGGCCAGCGTCACAACACCATGCGCTGGCCCCCTGCAACATTTGATTCGGTAAATGTCAAATGTCTGATTGAGTTGCAAAGCAAAAATTGCAAACAGTGTAGGAGTGACCCTCTGCTCCCATGTGCTAGGGAGGTTCACACACACACACACACACACACACACACACACACACACACACACACACACACACACACACACACACACACACACACACACACACACACACACACACACACACACACACACACACACACACACACCCCACACATACCACACACGCCACACACGCCACACACGCCACACACGCCACACACGCAACATACGCAACACACGCAACACACACACACACACACAACACACACACACACAACACACACACACAACACGCACACACAACACACACACACACCATTTGGAACCACCCCTCTGGAAGACTGAAAATGCCACTAAACGCTGACTCTAGAGGGCTCTACGGGATACGGCGCGCGTTTGAGACCCCGTTTTTTCAGACTATAAACACCACTAAACGATAAATCTAGAAAGCTCCGCAGGATGCGCCGCGCGTTTAGGACGCCCCCTCGGAAGACTATAGATACCACTAAATGCTAACTCTAGAAGGCTCTACGGGATGTAACGCGGGTGTAGCCACCACCCCCCGCCGGAGACAAAAAATGGTCTTTGAAAGACCGCACAAAACAAAAAAAATATACATGTATAAATATAAATATAAATAAATATATATATATATATATATATAACAACGCACAACACGCAACACACAACTTTCACTACACCGCACAGACATGCACAACACAACTTTGGGTGCACATACACGCACTCACAACATACGCACCTACACACACAGACACACACGACACACACACACACACACAAACACACACACACACAACCACACACACACACACACTCACACACACACACACTCTCACACACACACACACACACGCAACACACACCACACGCACAACACACACAACACAACACACAATGCACGGCACACAACACACAGCACACAGCTCACAGCACAACGCACCCAACACCACGTGCCGCGCACACTCCTCTGGAAGGCTCTAGAGGGCTCTCCACTCGTTCATCACTATCCTTCACATACGCATGTGGGTTTATCCGGTCCTTAAACTATTATATTTATCTTCGGCAGATAAACAAAGACAAAGAAATTAAAGTGGATAAAAAACAAATAAATAAATAGATATGCAAGTGTAAACACACATATATAAATATGTTTATACGTACATATACACATCGAGTTTCAATTATTTAATTTCGAAAAGCATATTTAGAGCCATATTTTATTATCTATATAGATGATATCTGATTGTATTGTAGATCTTTCCAAAATAGACAATACAGTTTTTTGGAATGAAGAATGTATTCTGTTTCGAATTCGAATATTCAAAAGCGAAAACGTCTGCGTCAATATTAAGGTATCTATAGATATATCGCGCTGACAAATATATTTGATATGATCATCAAATGATATGCCTTTTAGTTAAACCAAGTGAACTGAAAATATCTGTGTTAATCATGAGCATAAGATTCAATCAAATTCTCTCAATCTTTTGGGAATTTGAAAATTGATTTTTTTTCTGAAAGTTCATACCGATATATTCTCATGATTTGAGAGATTATGCGAGCCAATGGAGTACCCTAAACCATTCATGTCGGGAGCTTGTGGAAGCGATCCATCATTCCAGACCTGTGCATTTCTGGATTCGGGGCTGAGGCTCTGCTCCATGAAGGCCTTAGGTTTAATGTAGGAACCTGACTAAGAAACCTTGGGCCTGTATTTTTCTTAATCAGGTTCTTACAATATACAGTTTTGGGGTTGAAGATTTTGCACCACTCCGCAAACATGTCTGCTCAAGTCGAATTCTGCCGAAATTTTGCGCGGCGCCACTTGGTGGCATCGTTGCACGCATCGAGAAAGCCTGAAATTGAAAATACCAGAGAGACCTACACGATTTGCAGAAACCGCACCAAACCCCGAATGCTTCGACATCAGACATCAGAGAGGCAACTGGATGGCGGCAATGATGCGTCATTCGGGGATACCCTTAACCCTAAATCCTGAACCCTAAACCCTGTTTCCGTCTTCCTAGAGCCTTTCATTGAATTTTGATGCCGGAACGCAGCCATGAGCAAGTCGAACGCAAAGGAAAGCTGGAAGCCCTGATCCGAAAGCATCTCTAGGATTCCTGTCCTCTTTTCTGCACTGAACTTAGAACCCTAGCAAAAATGATAATTTTAGCTGTTTCTTAGGGATTATAATAACCAAAAATGAAAACTCATTTCTAAGTACCCCTAAGTTTTCTTGCGCTCGACGAAAACCTCGCCCTCTCGACTGTAAGCTCGGCAAGCTCTACACCTTGCACGCCGTAGACGAATCTACACAATCCTTCTGTCAGAGGGCTTACTTTAATGCTCCAAACCCTAACTATTCCTCAGTCTTCTTCTCGCCACATACAAGGACAAACAGATGATTGAAAGGGCCCCCACCCTGTTATAATGGTATAATAGGAATGTAATGGGGCCTTAATATAATCCTTATAGTCACTATTACAGGGTGGGGGCCCCTTCTAAAACAGATTTGACAAACAACAACCACCTCTAAAACTTGGGATCGACTCGGAGTCTTGAGTCCTTGATGCCATTTGTTGGCTCCAGGTGTATGGTTCTGGGGCTTGCTGTACCTAACCCTGCATAACCTACCTTTTTAGGGTTCCCTAGTGTGATTTCATTAAAACAAGTCCTTAAAAAAGGTAAGTCTCTTGGGGTTAAGGTAGGGCTTCGGCGGAAACATTCAAGCATTCGGATGTCGAAGCTTGCGTCTGTCGGCTCAGGGCTACTTTGCGCAGCAACTCCTGGGTGCCAATGGCAAGGGGCAGGGTCGAAACCGAAGAGCCCTAGACCTTTGGGTAGTTGTCAAAATTATGGTCTCTTTTTGGGTACCTTAAGTATTAGGTACCTTAAAATTATATTTGGTGCCGTATTATATTTGGGACCCAAGACGGGACCCTAATTTTGACAACCACCCCTTTGAGGTTCTGGAGTTTTGAGTTTACGGAGGCCCGAGACTGCAATGACGACGGTGCCGTGAAGCTGGGTTGAAGTAAAATCGTACTTTCAAGTAAACCAACACCAAGATTGTAGGTAGCTTAAAATCTGGCTTACATCTTCAGCTAAACTTCTATTGCAGCAGGCATTCCAAAGATACACCACCAAACCTAAGACCCGAACACACCCACCTCCAACAGAACCTCCCTACAACAACGACAACAACACCAGCAACAACAACAGCAGTAGCAACCACAACTAAGGCCACATCGACAACGACAACAACAGCAACAACAACAGTAACACAAACAGCAACAGCAACGTCATCAACAACTGTGACTGCGACTGTGACTCCTACTCCTACTCCTACTCCTACTACTGCTGCTACTACTACTACTACTACTACTACTACTACGTCTACTTCTACTTCTACTCCTGCTTCTACTTTCTACCTCCACCTCTGCCTGTACCTCAAGCTCAACCTCCACCTCCTTCTCTACGTCTCTGCCTCTCTACTTGGAGGCCCAGGGGACTTAGTAAGTAGGTTATAAGTAGGGTTATAATTGGGGTAACTCCATTTAAAATACCTATAACCCTATTTATAACCTACTTACTCAGTCCCCCAAGTACCTGTACAGGGAAAGGCAAAGGCCCCGCTGCCAAAGCTCTGGTACGTCGGAATCATGTACTTGATGTTGACGAAGGCATCCTTTCCGGGGTTTAGGGTGTAGGGGTTTAGGGTTTAGCGTTCCATTGCCGAAGGCAGAAGAGGGGTTCCCGTTCAAAAGTGCGTGGTTTCTTGGAGTCGGTGGGTTGAACGTTCGCAAGCGCACGCAAGCTTTCGCGAGTGACGGGCGCGAGCTCCGATGAAATTCCACAGGAAGCGTGTCCAGGCTTTTCTTGCAAGGCACCTGGAATGAGCCAAGCTAGTTTAGGGTTTAGGGTTTAGGGTAATTATGGGCGAACTCTCGCGAATTGCGCGCGACCCGGCAACAGTTGTTCTTTTCGTTGGCGGAGCGGTGGACAAACCCCTATACAACCTTCCAGAGAACCCTTACGGGTAGTTGTCAAAATAGGGGCCCCTTTTTGGGCACCCAAACAAATTTAGGCACCGTAAAAGGGACCGTAATTTTGACAACCACTCTTATAAAACCCTCAAATAACCCTGTCCGGAACCCGATATCCGAAGGCCTTGGCGCAGGGTGTAGCTGGGCCTTCATGCGATTTGTGAGGTTCCGAAATTTAGCGGGTACCTGATTTTAGGGTCCTTATAATAAGGATCCTACTATTTAGGGTCCTATATTAGGGCCCCCCTATTTTCAGAAACCCCCAAATTTGTCTGAGGCTGAGGTCTTGGGCCATCCTTGGTTAGGCCCGAAGGGCTTCGAACAAGTAGCGGCTGCAGAGTTTTGGGCTTCGGTTTTGTTCTAAAGTGCAGTGACTCTTTCTCCGCATGACTGCGGGATTTGAAGCTTAAAGTTTCTTGGATTTATATAGAGAGTTCAGGGTCCAGGGATAACTTATGGCTCTAGGGGTTTAGGGCTCGCTGCTGCTATGCTCACACTGAGGTCGTTTAGCTGATAGTACAAGTCTTACCAGAAATCCTAATGAATCGAAACCCATCCACGGCTTGCATCAAGTGCCACTGTGGCAGCGGGTGCTCAAGGTGTGAATCAGCCGACTATTCGCAAAGATTGTAACCCCTTCCTGTGCAAAACACTTGCAGACAAACCCGAAACATGAGATTACACAAACAAACACGCAGGCCCACGCCCACGCACACGCACGCGCACACACTCACACTCACACTCACACTCACACTCACACTCACACTCACACTCACACTCACACTCACACTCTCTCTCTCTCTCTCTCTCTGTCTCTCTACATATCTCTCTTTCTTTCTCCGTCTCTCTCTCTCTCTCGCTCCGTCTGTCTTTCCCACACCCTGAATTTTGAACATTAAACTTCTTAAACTCAGAATGGAAAGTAGCCCCTGCCCATGCACAGAAGCGACTCCTCGCCGCCATGAGATTCCAAGAGCTCCAGAGTCTCTTCCTGAGGCGTCACTTGAGGCCCTGTACTTAAGGTTTCGGGTTCTAGGGTTTAGGGCTCTCGGGTTTAGGGTTCAGGGTTTAGGGGTTCTTGGGTTTAGGGGTTGATGGCTCGAAGATTGGCAGCAACTGTGTCTACTGTTTGCGGCAAACTTACAGTTCTGGAACTATCCAGTGCTCAGTGTGGCTTTGTCAAGCCACTCCGGCAGACTCCGGCAATCGAGAGTTGAAGTTTCAAACCTGGGTACGCGATCTCTGCATGTAGAGCCGGCCATCAACTTCAATGAACAAGCCGGCAGACCAACTGACCAAAACCCCAAGCCCGTGGAGACTGCACATGCCTGTTAACCTCTTAGACTTCCACCATGCAACAACAACATTTATGGACCTTAGTTCCTAGAGGATGCTATGGACCGTAAAAACCCCAAACCCTCGTATGAAACACTTTTTTGTTACTACTACTACTACTACTACTACTACTACTACTACTACTACTACCACTACTGCGGTTGATGATATGAATCCTGCATTACCCAAAATAAGGAATATACCTTAATTCCCATAGTTTAGGGGTCCTTAAGGTAATGCAGGATTTATATCATCAACCGTACTAGTACTAGTACTACTAGTACTAGTACTACTACTACTACTACTACTACTACTACTGCTACTACTAGTAGTAGTACTAGTACTAGTACTAGTACTAGTACTAGTACTAGTACTAGTACTAGTACTAGTACTAGTACTAGTACTACTACTAGTACTACTACTACTACTACTACTACTACTACTACTACTACTACTACTACTACTACTACTACTACTACTACTACTAGTATGAATACAATCACTCTCACCGCCATTACCACTATGACTATGTCTTTTGCTATGACTATTACTACGTAGTCCTTTCTTCCTAGTGCTAATGCTTCTTCATTTTGAGAGTCATCATGCTTATGATTATGATTCTGATTGCGACGACGATTTTTGTACTAACGTAGCAACATTTTTGTTGCTAGTTTGAGTTATCTCAGGTTGAACCTCCATACCTCTTGAAGTCATCTGGGAGTTTCCGAAAATAGGGCTAATATAGCACCCTGAATAGTAGGATCCTTATTATAGGGACCCCAAAACAGGTACCCCTCATTTCCGGAAACTCCCATATCTAGACCCCTTGTAGCCAAAATACTTACTACTGTTCAACGACCTAGAACCATAGTTACCCTAATTATAACCCCACTTATAACGACCCATGAACCTCCAAGTATACCTCTTCAAGTCATCTCGGGATCCGGCCACCAGTTCGCCCAGGTTTCGTCGTCGCCGCTGTCCATAGTCCATGGCGGCATCTGGGAAGCGGTGTCTTTCGATGGGCAACAGCCGAGGACAGATATGGGCAGTTGTCAAAATTATGGTCTTTTTGTGGGTACCCTGAATATTAGGTGCCGTATTATAATGAGGACCCAAAACGGACCATAATTTTGACAACTACCCATATAACACAGTCCTAAGCCTTGTAGTGCCTGGCGGTATGATATCCGCTGAAAAGGAAGAGGGAGGTCGGAATTCTGAGGTCACTGCTCCACCCCACAGCTGCAATGAAGCCCTGAATCCTAAACCCATGAAGCCCTTGCCTGTGCCGGTGGTGCTGTCCTTGTACAGGTTAAAGATCCTCGGCTATTGCAGCCCGGGGTGGCTATGAGTGTTACGACCAGAGCTTGTGGTACACTTTAAGGCGGGTTTGAAAAGCAACTTAACAGCCATTACTCTACGTGGTACCAAAAAGAGCTCTCAGCCAGATCCTGGCAATCCCTGCCCAGAAAAAGAAACCCAAATGAACCTAAACCGACACGGAAACCACAGCCTAGACCTTAAAGCCTGACCTAATGTAGGGGCCTTACTAATTAGAATAGGCTTGGGGGTATATTAAACTATAATTATCATAAGGAACCCCAAAATTGAATCAGTATACGTAGTTATTTAAGCCTCTATATTACTGCCCTGCAAGTCGGAGCCCATCAGGCGTTGTTTCTGCCAGAGTTCAACCCCCCATACACCCTAAATCCTAAGATGCATCCGAATCCCACATTGCTTCGCACACTTGGCCATAATGTAGGGGCCTAAACCTTTACCAATACATTCTGGTGGTTCCTTATTATGACTAGGTAGTGTATACTATAAACCCTTAGCCCTAAACCACCCCAAAACCCTAGTCTAATTATTAAGGTCTCTATATTATAGTACCGTTATGGGTCCCTTATAGTCACCCTTATATATTCCGAAACCCTAGTCTAATTATTAAGGCCCCTATATTATAGTACCGTTTCAGATCCCTTCTAGTCACCCCTATATACTCCAAAGCCCTAGTCTAATATTGCTAAGGATCTTGATTTTTTTTGCATTCGGGAAGATGGAGCAGAGCTTCGGACTCTGAGGGTTGTCAGGCTCAGGTCGGGTTCAGGGGTTCTTTTTGTTTTTTGTGTCGCTCCATTTCTCCAGCAAGGGTCCAGGGGTTCAGGGTTTAAGTTGTAATTTAAGCCACTCTACTTGGGATCTAGAGTAAACAGCATGGTTTCCTTATTGTGGTCTTAAGTTAAGTCCCTTACCCTGAACCCCTAAACCCTTGCTATAGACATCTGACAGCTGATATCTAAACTCAGCTGCTCAGCTTAACAAGGTTGGCCTTGGTAAATATACTAGGGCTGAGGGTTTGGGGTCGGCGCATTCTCGTAGGATAACTGTATCACGGAGGCTTAAGGAACATGCTTGGTAGTTTGCACCCTCCGATGTACGGAGGTTTGTGGCCGTGGCATCTTATTTTGCCTGCTTGTGGGGTATCATGGGGAACTAAAGGTTAACGTTTTTGATTATGTAGGGGTTATATAGGGGCTATACCAACCAAAAAGCTTAAAGGTTACCTACTCTACTACTAGGTTTGGGCTTCTTCAATGTGGCTCCCTGGCAAGGCCCTGTATGCACCATGGGCTACAGGGGATGCTTGGTTTCGGGAATAGAAAGTGTATGAAGTCCTACACCAGACCCCCTCACAGCAACACCCTAAACCCTAAACCCCTAAACCCCCAAACCCTAAACCCTTCCTGAACCTGGACCCCGAACCCGAAACCTCGAATCTTCCAAACCCACATAACACTACTTCGTGGCTCCTAAACCACAATGGGTGGTTGTCAAAATTATGGTCCCTTTTTGGGTCCCTATTATGATACGGCACCTAGTATTTATGGTACCCATATTGCGACTGCAGCACTGTAGAACCCTGAAGCTAGTTTGAGATTAGGGCCATCGGCTAGGCCTTAAAAAGTCTTAAAACTGGACCAGCAGATGGAGTCTCACGAAAGTTGAAAACACCCGAAGCCCACCACCCTTAAATCTCGAACCCTTAAACCCTAAACCCAAAAAGGAATTTAAAATCCTTAGTGCCAAACCCGTGAAGCCCAAACCCCTGCTCCCAAACCCTAGCCCGAATCCTAAGCACTTAATCCTAAACCCTGTGCAAACCCTACCCTCAACCCTACACCCTAAACCCTAGACCCCTAAACCCTACACCCTAAACCCTAGACCCCTAAACCCTAAACCCCTAAACCCTAAACCCCTAAACCCCTAAACCCTCAACCCTAAACCCCTAAACCCTAAACCCTGAAGCCCTAAAGCCGAACCCCCCCCGCAAAACCCTCCACCCGATCTTGTGAGAGCTTCGGCAGCAGCTGCCTGTAGTAGGGAACCAGGGCCTCCCAGGGATTTCTGAGTTCTGAGGGAAGTGTTGCTATAAAATCAGAAGAGGGTCCCTTCAAAGGGGTATATACGCGTTACTACAAGGGATCTACAAAGGTACTATAATACGTAGTCCTGAACTCCCTACAGCCTAAACCCTTAACCCCGAAGCCTTCTAAACCCTAAACCATAGATCCTAAACCCCAAACCCCTCAGCCCCTTATCCCCTGACCCCTGAACCACTTAAAATCTTAAACCCCGAGTCCCCAACCCCAAGCGCCTAAAACACTTAGCCCTTGGATTGGATCCCGGAAAGGTTGGAAGATAGATTTAGGCTGATTAGTGCTAGGATCCCCTATACCTTCCCTTTAAGGGCATGAGGATATTGATGCTCCAACTTGCTGGCTTCCACTACAAGCCCGTTTCAACCCGAAGTCCCTACATCATAGAACCCTTCTAGTGGCCCTTCCAGGGCCCCTTTGTAAAGAGCCCTTCTCGGAATCCTATTCAAGTCATGAAGGCCCCTAACATAAAGGCCTAAATGTGAGGCACGTGGGTAGCACCATCTTGGCCTGCAGGCACATTTGCTGCAGCAGGCTGGTGAGGCACGTGGGGCACCTGCTCCTGGGAAGGAAAGAAGGGGATCGTCGGCGTATGGCTCCAGATGTTCTGCACTGGCCGGGCCTTCTTCTTGGGTGGTGGCATGGTTGGTTGGACCGGTAGGGGTACTGCCTTTGGTGGTTCTGGGGGGAAAGGTGCAGGTGCTGGCGGTGCTTGGGCGTCACCAGCTTCAGCTTGGTCCAGGCACCTTGTTCTGCTTCCACCAACGGCGCGGGGCGTCGTCATTGCCACCACTGGCCGTTGTGGAATCTTGCGGCTTTGGCCAGCCACCACCTGATGGGCTTTCATAGTCGGTGTCTTCTCCTTCCGACCAAAACTCCACGCGCGGCTCTGGTCTCGAGCCACTTGATCCCGCAGGGTGGCCTTCATTCGTTTGCACCCACCCTGAAACTCTAAATCACGGCTTTATCTCTCCGATTCGTCCCCCACCCCGGTCCCTCTGATATGGGAAAAACCCTGTGGAAAAAAACCCTAAACGTTAAATGTTAGTAATGGTAGTAATATTAGTAATAGTAGTAGTAGCAGTCGTAGCCCTGAAGTTTGACATTGCGGCTTCATGAATAGGCTCCTACACTGCAAGACATGGTAACTAGACAGGAAAGCCAAAGCTTAACCCCTGTACCCTACCCCAACTGACCAGTAACAAAGCCTTGGCCAGGAGATCACCAACAACTCTCGCAAGACGCGATAAAGCATCTAGCTCCACCCCCGTCAATACGGGAGTTTCCGAAAATTAGGGGTACCTTATTTTGGGGTCCTTATAATGAGGATCCTACTATTTAGGGTACTATAGTAAGGTCCCCAATTTTTGGAAACCCCCATACAATCCCTAAAGCTTGTCCAAACCATCGGAACAATACAGCCGCAAAGCTGTTGCAGACTCAGCCCTGTCGGATGCCTGACCCACACCCGGGGCCGATGTGATCAGCTTCTGCAAAACCTCCCGCAACTTCTACAAGGGCTTCCGGTTTTCCTATGGTTTTATGAGGGCTTACGACAGGGATCTTCAGGGGTTCTAACCACAAGGGTTCGGTGGAACCCAATAAACAAGTCAGTAAACAACCTTATAAAACAAATCAAATTATAAATAGACGAACAAATCAACAACCAATGTTCGCTCATATGCATATATGTATGTATGTATGTATGCAGGTATCTATCTATCTGTGTATGTTATGTTATGTTACTATGTACGTATGTATTTTTGTACATATGAATGGATGGATGGACGGACGGATGGACGGATGGATGGATCGGCTCAGGGTAACCCCAAACTTCAGGGTTTACGATGATAGGGTGTGCGGGGTCGGCTTTTCAACTTGTTGGGGCTTAGTGTTTAGGGGCTTGGGGGTGAGGGTTTCGGGGTTAGGCTAGGGTATGGACTACATGTTTGGGCTTGGGGTTCTGAGATTTAGGATGCTTTAGGGTTCGGGACTAAGCTCAGCTTGAATTAACACTGGCAGGCAGGACGGATGAATACTGACTGCCTGCAGCGTGCGCGCCACGATGTCCGTGTCCCTCGTGTTGAGGGCGGCCTCGAGGGGCGGCTGTGGAATGGTAAGGCAAACACACGGAACAGACTCCATAACCTATTGCACTGCCCCCGAAAGGAACACTAACTTCGAACGTCCTCACGACTACAGATTGACGTTTCCTAGCATATCCGTCTCTCACTGTCCGGTTGGCCATCTATCCGCCTAGCAAACATTACATGCATGTATGCATCTATCCACCTCTCTTCTCATAACTGAAGGGTGCTTTTGAAAGATGCCAGCATGTTGCTTCGTGTTGTGCTTTGTCACATAGATCGCTGAACTCCCAACAACTAAAGCCTCCGCAGGGCTTTCATTGACATGGATGCTTCCGCAAGGTTGCGATACGGGCTTTATGGTCCCCTGTAGGGTTTTTGCAAGGAGCTACATGGTGTCGCAGGGGTCCTCACACGGCTCTATGCAGGGTTCGAAGAGGGTTTTGAAGGGTGTTACAGGGTTCTTCAAATAAGTTTCATGAGGTTCTCAATTCATCCACAAGCCCGAACCTTTTAACTTGTAACTTAAACCGCAACCCAACATGAATCCCTGTACAAACCCTTCAACATTATACCGAGCTCCAAACAGCGGCGGACCTAACAAATCCCTACCCGAAGGGTTGGTATTTCAGGCCCCAGCTACATTACAAGCTCGGAAACCGGGGATTTGCAACAAAAACAATACTGATAAGCTTCAGGGTCTTGCAGGGTTTAGGGTCCTGGGTGTTGGGATAAGGGCTTTGGGTTTAGAGCCTAGGGCTTTGGGTTTGGGGCTTGGGGTCTTGGGTTTAATGAGGTCGGCTTCTTCACGGCTGAAGGCTCCAAGCCTGGAGAGCTTTAGCTTCCACGTGCAGGGCATCCGGGATCGCCGAACTCGTGCCACTTTTCTGGTGATACTTTGTCGTGTCTTGACAACGCCAGGCGCAGACGGTTGAGGGTTCAGGAATTAGACGGTCTATTATGATTATTTATATTACTGCTATTATGCGTATTATCATTGTTTATCATTATCATTATACTTATTTGTATTCTCTTTAATATCATTCTTGATCTTAATATTGTAACTTTTATAGAGCTCTTATGGAGTATCCGCGCTCACGGCAGTCGTGGCTCAAGCGCATGCTGGGCGCATGTGCGCCCGGGGTCTAGTTGCAAGCTTCGCAGAAGGCTGCGGTGTTTAAAGCACAGTGCTGGCAGGGCTCAGGGCCTTAGTTAGGGTGTTGAAGGGTATTAGGGTTTGGGGGGCCTTTACAGTGCCAATGGTTTTGGGGCTTTGGGGTTTAGACCCCAAAGCCCTAAACCCCTAAACCCTAAAGGGCTTGGAGTCTTCAGGGTTGGGAGATTGCGGGCTCCAGGATTCCAGGTGTTCATGAAGTGCTGAAACGAAGAAGTAGCCAGCGCCACGAAGATTCGGGGCCCGAAGCTGTTCACCGCCTCGCTGAACTCCATTAGGGTTTAGGGTTTAGGGTTTAGGGTTTAGGGCCCCGTAAGAAGGATTCCCTAGAAGTCCGGGGAACAAGTTCGCCACAGTGTAGAAGCGAAGCTTGTTAAAGTCCCCGGCGCAGGCGTCATCACCCGGTCCGCCATGGAGCCAAGCACGCACTACACCATGCAAGCATAACTATTCTGCACTCTCAGCATTGGGACAGGGTAGGGTATGAGCGATTAGGTAGGGTATCGGGGTATATGATACCACAAAGAGCTACTACTACTACTACTACTACTACTACTACTACTACTACTACTACTACTACTACTACTGCTACCACCTAGTCCGACCCCTATGTTGGGGCAGAACTTTTATATAGTGTTTGAGGCGGAGGGCCTGTTCTAGTAGTTCTTCTCGTAACCCGTATAGTATCAGGCTTGATATATCTTAGTTGACCTTATGGTAACCTAACCCTAAACCCTAGATCCTAAACCCTAAAACCCTAAACACTATACCCTAAACCTCTACATGACAAGGAAGGCTTTGGGGAGTTGGGGATTGTCCACGGAAGCCTTGATGGGAAGGATGAGCTGAGGAATGGTTGAAGTGATCCTGGCCCAGGTTGGGTTTAGGGTTTTGGTTTAGGGTTTAGGGTTGGGTTCAAGTCACGAGAAACGAGCAACCAAGGTACAGTTAGGGTCTCGCTAGGGCTCAGGGTTATAGTAGAGCGCAGCCCGCAAGCTAAGCTCATGTCGATGTCGTCGGGATGGTGTTTGGGGATTTCAGACAGTGCTGGTAGGGCACAGGTAGTGAACAGGTACATCACTAGCAACAGATGATCTGTCTTCTGGAAAAATGATGTTGCTGGCGCAGTAGGGTGGTGGTGGTGGTGGTGGTGCCAGCGGTGATGGTGCTTGTAATGATGATGATGTTGATGGTGTTGATGATGATGATGACGATAAGCTGACCACAAGGGATGATGACGAGGAACATGGGCAGGCGTTGAGCGACAAGAGCCGTCTTACACCGTTGTTGCAAGGGGTGGCATTCAACTGATAACGATGAGGAACGCAACCCTCCCAAGACTCAATACCTGAAGCAAAGAGGCATTCAAACGAATAATTGACCCAAGGGTTGTCAGGCTGAGAGGTCAGGGAACCTTCATGCCAAAACCTTCCGCGAATTCAGTGATGTTTGTAGGGGTGTTCATCGGGTTTCAAGTGGGTTTGGGCTTTTCATATCCGTGCAATTCAACTCGCCTAAGTCGCTCGTTCTTATAGGAACCACACCCTAAGCCCCAAACCCTAAGAGCATTGACGTGGACTGCGACAAAACAGTCAATCAGGGCCGATCGGACTGAGATTGAATTCACCAACGAACTCTCAGTGACGTGCAGTGCTTGCATGCGCAAGATCTGTATACATCTAAACTTTGTAAACCCTAAACCGTAAGCCCCTGAAGCTACCTCTAAACTACCAAAACCAAACACTGAAGACACCCTCTTTCCCATTGTCCTGCTGCCACCGTGATCCAGAAGGCTGTGGATGCCATGCGTGGAGAGGAAGCCATACGGATCCTCTACAAATTAGGCTTTAGCGTTGATGGTTTATGGTTTAAGTCCCTTTCCGGGTTAGAGTCTATACGGCTTCTATAAGGGTTCACTCATCGAACCTTCAGGGACATTGAAGTTTGGGGGGGCTTATGCTGCAGCCTTGGAAGCCACATGGTTGGGGACCCTCATCATTGGGGGGAATTGGAGTTTGGGGCCTCTCGGGCTGCAGGGGTTGGGGCTATCCTTAATAATCTGTACTAGTGACGAGAATCTTTTGGTTGCTTCTCCACTTCCCTGTCATTTGCAGGGTTTCGAGTTCCACTTCTGCCGGTGTTGAGGTGATTACACAGGTGGCTGCCAAAGGAAGGTTCTGGCAACGGTAAGTTGACTCTTTGTCGACTTCGCCGCATGCGAATGCTTTTGGGAGTCGCAGGTACTTACTCTGAGCTCATACATGTGTTCGGCGGCATTGTAAACCGGCCAATATGTGCAAAGAGCAAACACACTAAAGCCGGAACTCCAACTTCCAACCGCTGAACCCGCACTGCACTAAACTTGAAAAGCATAACCCTTGGAAAACACAAACACAAAAACGAGACCCAACTCCCAAAAACACATATCTTTGGAAACTTGGCCAAAATCGACATAACTCGCACGGCTTGCTGCGGTCCTGCTTCTCCTTCAGACCTCGCAAGAGGACACGGGCGTTTGCAGTTCGAGGGCTTGTTGAGGTTGGGCTACAAGGGTTTAGCTTCGGCACTGCGACTGGGAACAAAGAAACACTTCAACATACTTCAACTCAGAAAAGCGGGTCTATCAGAAGGGACACCACATCTCCTGAAGCAGTCGGTGCACGTTCCCAACCCAACAGAACAAAACCGTCGAAGCCTCCGATCAAGCTTGCTTTGCCAAAGTCTGCAAACCTGCCTCTGAAACAGCTGGCAAAGTGACAAGCAACGTGTTATCCTCCCCCGCAGCCACGAATGCACAACAGATGCAACAAACTTGGACGACCTGCACGAAAAGTAGAGCTTCAGACAAAACAGGAGTGTTATGTAGATCCTGATTTTGAAACAGCATACTTTCCACAAAGATGCTACCCAAAAAAAAGTTGCCTTGGTACATGTTGAGGCCGCCCTATAATCCTTACGGTTGATGATATAAATCCTGCATTACCTTAAGGACCTTAAACTATGGGAGTTATGGTATATTCCTTATTATGGGTAATGCAGGATTTATATCATCAACCTTATGAACCCCTGTCCGAAGCGCTGCTACAACCCCTCTCTCACACATTTACAACATCCTAGGACGAATAAAAACAAAAGACTACAACAACACACACGCTCACACAAAACATCAAACCCAGTTTCTGGTTCCCAGAACCCTAAACCCTAAGCCCCTAAACCCTGAACTACACAACATCAAAACCAGTTTCTGGCCCCTATACCCTAAACCCAAACCCAGCCCTAAACCCTAAACCCTAAACCCAGTTCCCAGGGCCGAGGCCATCAAAGAAGAGGGGCATAAAGTGGATGTAGTCCAACTTCTCCAAGGGCGCTTTCCACCTGGCATGTCCAGAGTTTAGGGTTTAGGGGTTCAGGGTTCCTTTAAAGGGATCTATATGGGGTTCTATAAAGGGATCTATCAGAGGGTTTATAGGCTTCAGAAAGCGGCATTCATTGACTGTGGAACTAAGCAAAATGAGTCTTTGTGAAGGCTACGACGGCAGCCCATATAAATACAGATCCCTACACTGAGCCCGAAACCCTGGTGTCGACCCGAATCCCTCAACCCTAATCCAGTTCCAAGTGTTTACACTTATATAAAACCTACCATTGGTACAGACCCTAAACCCTAAACCTTCATGGGAATTGAACCCCAAACTGAAAAACACCACTTAAAGAAACTCGATCTCCTCGTCTCCTCAAACTCGACATTCCTGGCCTTTCTTTCTGTTGCCCGGATGCCTGGATACTTCCTTTGAGTCGACTTTCGGCTTAAACTAGCATCCTGGGGCTTTTAAGCTTCACAGTTTAGGGTTCTGGGGTTCAGGGCTTGGGATTTAGGCTTGAGCATACTCTCATGCACAAGCATAACGTATATGATCCTCTCCCATGGTGCGGAGAGGTCGTTTTGGAATCAGTACCATTGCTACAAGCGAGTAAACCAAACCATTGCTGACTAATATAGGGGCCTTGATAATTAGCATAGGGTTTTGCCGTACATTAATCTAGGAACATAATAAGGAACCCCCCAAAATCGTATAGGTACTTATTTGGGAGTTTCCGAAACTAGGGGATCGTAACATAGCACCCTAAACAGTAGGATCCTTATTATAAGGACCCCCAAATAAGGTACCACTAATTTTCGGAAACTTCCATTTAGGCCCCTATATCACCTGTGAACACCTTCATCCCAAGAGGGCAAACAGATGCAGGCCCACATCAGGCTCTTGCTCACGCCCTCGTAACCTGGTGTTCTGCCACTTCAGCCGTAGATTTCAGATGGGAGTTTCCGAAAATTAGGGGTACCTTATTTGAGGGTTCTTATAATAAGGATCCTACTAAATAGGGTACATTAGGGTCCCCTATTTTCGGAAACCCCCAGATAGAGTTGATGACAATCGTAAGTACGGTAAACGTTCATACAAATACGAACAATGCATTGAAAGCTCTTTTGTTCCTCCTGGCACACTGTTTTGGAGCAATAGCAGTAGCAGTACTGTGCAGTAGCAGGAGCAGGACGGAGCAGCAGCAGGAGCCAGAGCAGTAGAAGTAGCAATAGCAAGCAGTAGCAGTAGCACTAGGAGTAGAACTAGGAGTAAGACTACCAGAACAGCAGCAGCAGCAGCGGCGGCGGCGGCGGCGGCGGCAGCAGCAGCAGCAGCAGCAGCAGCACTAGCGGCAGGAGCGAGCAGCAGCAGGAGCCGTAGCAGTAGCAGTCGCAGCAGCAGCACCAGTAGGAGTGGGCTGCGGGCTGACCACAAGACGGAACCAAAACGAACCGTGCTCGGGATTACGAGGCAGGTGCATGGTTTATCCGTTTTGCGGTCCGGGCGTTTTAATCGTTGTGGATTCGCTTTGGGGTCTGTCGGGGTCTCAGACCCAATGGACCCGGAAAAGCACGTTGGAATTCCTGCAGCCCACAACAAACGGATCTCAAACGAACCACAAAAGGACCCAAGCGGAACCGAAACGAACCCGAAACGGATACAACACACAAGTACACACATACCCACGAACGGATCTGAAACGCATTTTCACCCTGAGCCAGAAACCCTTAATCCTCAACGACGGTTTCTCAAAAAGAGCCCTAAAAGCCTAAACCCCAAACCTACAAAAGAGCAAAGCTGTGGCGAGCCCAGCCAACACCCAAAACCCGAAACCCTAAGCCTAACAAGTTCCACCACAAAAACGAGCTCAGGAAAAAACACCCTAAACCCTATACCCGGACCCCGGTTGAAAACAGTAAACCGACTACAGACCAAAGCTCTGGGAAGCCGGCTAATCTGGACAGGAACGTCACCACGGTCGTAGGCTCGACGAAACCTCACTTCGGGTCTTCTTGGTGGTGTGGGCTTTGCGACGGTTTTTAGGGCTCAGCTTAGGGGTTGAAGATCCAAAGTCTCGGGGGCTTAGGGTTTAGGGTGGATGCCCTCAACCCCGACCGCGAACACCCCAACCCTGAACCCAAGCTAACAGGGCCTAAACCCTGGACAACTCATAAGACATGGGGGCCTCATGCTGAGAAGCAAACCCCTACGCTGGAACATTCTACGAGCCCTACCCAGATGAAGGGTTGGGGTTCAGGGTCACCATAACTCACCATAACCCTTTAAGCCCCAAACTCCTTAAGCCCTAAGTAACCCGTAGCTCCGTGAAACGCCCAAATCGTTCCGAGCACCAGGAAGTATCGAAGTCCTGGTGACAGGATATAAGGGACTCAATAACAAGAATAGGGTGCCCCAAAAGGAAGCAAATCTTAGTTAACCCTCAACCCCTAAACCCCTAGTTAATCCTCAACCTTAAATCCTAAACCCTAAAATTCAAACCCCCCAAACCCTAAGCCCCCCAAAAAAGGGAAAGGAATCCAGGGACTCCAATATCCCTTAATTAAGGAATCTTCCTTAAATCATATTAGGGATCCTACTATAATTTAAGGTATATTCCTTAATTAAAGGATATTGGAGTCCCCTAAACCCTAAACCCTGTAGATCCCTTATAGATCCCTTAAAGGAACCCTTATAGACCCTTTAAAGGAACCTTATTGGGGTCTCTGGGAATCTTGGCCCTGGGCTCAGACACGGCGGCCGGGCGCGGCACCCAAGCTCCCGCCTTGGGAGGCGGCGCCGGGGCCTTGGGAGCTTTTTGGGGGCTTTGCGGGGCCGAGGGGATCCTTTAAGGGTTACAAAACAGGGCTCCTTTAAAGGGGTATATTATAGGGGTTCCTAAAAGGAGTCTTTAAGGGTTGCTATAGTATAGGGGCCTTAGGGTTTAGGGTTTAGGGTCCTTTAAGGGTTTAGGGGTTTGGGGTTCAATTGTTTGAAATTGGGTTTAGGGTTTGTTGCTATAGAGTATAGGGGCCTTAATAATTAGAATAGGGTTACAAAACAGGGCTGCTTTAAAGGGGTATATTATAGGGGTTCCTAAAAGGGATCTTTTAGGGTTACTATAGTATAAGGGCCTTAAAGAATTAGAGTCGGGTTCCTTTTAAAGGGGTCTCTCTCTCTCTCTACGCTGCCTGTCCGAGGCTGAGCGTTGCCCAGCACGTAAGGAAAAGATTGGACCCTAGCTGCGGAATGGAAAATCATGGGCCCCTAGGTTTGTGACCACATTGGCTTTTCAACCTGAAAAGGTGATGGCAGCGCCGCTCCGCCACTGTGTTGAAGTATTGGATGTCATATTCGATGACGTTAACACAATGGCACATTTTAATTAGTTGAAAGGAGCTTCGCGGTTGTTTGCTTTGGTTACCAAAACCCCTGATTTGTGCGATGCTTTGCTCATCAAATTCGGTGTTGGGATCACATATTGTACAGGCATCTCTGCATGTTTCAGCGAACCAGTTGGCTCTTGGCTTTCCGACTCTACGAGTGTGTTCAATACATGGTCTATCCGTACCTTGTTCGAATCGTACTTGTTTCATTGGGTCGTCCGCTGGAGCCCTTAACATTTTCGCTGCTTCCACCTGTCTGAGAACTTGACATGTTGATATTGGGCTCGTAATTTTCGTTCTTCTATTACTGTCCGATTGGTCCATTCTCTATCAATGTGGGTAGGGGGTATCACGGAGTTGAGCGCTTTGCCTGTGCCTTTGCCCCAACCTTTGTTGGCCGTCATGGCAAGCTCGTGTCTTTCAACAGCGTCCTTGAAAGCCTTCTTGTCGAACCGGTCTTCGTTGTAGTAGAGCGTGGCTCGCCCATGTAAGCGGTCAAGAGCTGCCCAAACGAGGTACTCGGCCACTGCAATGTAGATGGTGTGGTTCAATCCTTCTTCCTTTGAAAGGGGTCCTTAAGGGATACTAAAAGGGATCTATAAGGGTACTATAATGTAGGGGCCTTGATAATTGGAATCGGGTTCCCTTAAAGGGTCATTTCAGGATACCTTTGCAGGGATCTATGAGGGCAATTAGAAGAATGTACCATAGGGGCCTCAATAACTAGAATATGGTTTTGGGTTTTATTATACAAAGCTTATAATAAGGAGCACCCAGCAATGAGGGGCCTCAATAATCAGAGTGGGTTCCTTTAAGAGGTTGCTTGCTCTTGAACGGGCAACCAGGAGGCTCCAACATCCAGTGCTCGTGAATCGTATTATAACGGACCTTCAAACAATATTTGCTGCTTGTTGGACATGAGAAGACCGGTACAAATCGACTCCTTCGGAATGCTGCAGACCAACTTCAGCATATTGTTGCCACTGGCATCTAGCTTCGGCTAGCCGCTAACAGTTCGCAAACCCAGTATTAGCCAAACCCCGCATCCCTGCACATATAAAATCTGCCACTGAGTGCTCGGCAGGGCATTTTCTGACGGCCAGAGAGCCTTCTGCACAGTGCTTCTGTTGTGCCAGGACGTATGCCAACTGTTTGTTGCCAACATAAGGAACAACATCGGACAGATGCTAATCAGTAAGCCGAGTCACAGCCATTGCTTTTGCGACATGATAATGCAAGTGGACGATAATGATTCGACTGTTGAACGCAGTGATGAGGCTAGTGCTGAATATGCCGTTGGCACGGCCATGGCGATGATACTGCCAAAAGCGATGGTGATGATGGTTGTGATGTTGGTGAGGAAGGATGCATACCAATAGCCGGGTGTTAAGTATGACGATGAACCTCATACCCCAAACCCCAAATCCTAAACCTTCAGCCTTTTAGGAACCTTATACCCTAAACCCCAAATCCTAAACCCTTTGCCTTCTAGAAACCTCCTCTGGACTTTGAAGTAAGCAGGAGAAAAAAGTATAGACTTTTATTTCATAATGGTTCTTGTAAGGAGCAGGTACCAAAAACAGTATTCAAGTATGGTATTCCAAACTAACTCAGTCGCGGGGCTGACTGCTCCACCAGTGCCAGTGCCCTTCTTCAACGGCTTGGGAAGCGCCTGGCGAAGGTAATATAGGCCTTCATAATTAGAATAGGGTTTGGGCCCAATATATATGATTAGAATTAATTACTTAGGCCTCTATATTATTCCATTAATCGCGTATGAAAATCTTATACTAGACTACATGGTATAAATGTCATATGGTACACTTGTTCACTTTTGTGTATTGCATTGCGTGAAAACATAGGTCATAGTGTAACGCCCCCAGTACATGCTTGGAATAGGTACCTCTTAAACGAACAAACGCTAGCTAGATGAAGTGAAGGATGTCGTGTGCGTTGCGGAAGCTCTGTTAAAGCGGCTTTTCAAACATCGGAGCTGACGAAGCTGATGGCATACATGGGTAGTTGTCAAAATTATGATCCCTTTTTGGGTACCCTAAATAATAGGTGTCGTATTATAATAGGGACCCCAAAAGGAATCCTAATTTTGACAACCACCCACATCCAAGGAAAAGCTTTTCAGAAGATTCGTCAGCTGGTGAGCTGCTCAGTCTTCACAAGATTGCTCTCAGGCATTGCTTGGTGTAGGGTTCGGGATGTGGCATTGAAATCGCTGACATGCGTTCCTCTTCGTGGTCCTGAATGAGGCAGACCTGGTAGGCGAGGGTGACGAAGCTTGTGCGCCCACATGTGTACACCAACAGTATCTACCAAATAAACTGAAACCGCATGCCTCACACTTCATCGCAGAATCTACCTTAAACTGACAATTCTAAAGTCACATTTCCTACTTGAAAGGTAGATAAGATGGCTTTCTCTTTTTCTTCTCAATATCTCTCTCTTTGTAAGGGTTTGTAGGGTTACAATTCAGTACGGTGTATTTTCAAACTTGCTTATGGTTTACAGGATCTGTTCATGGCTTTGTGAGGGTTTTGTAGATTTCAGTGAGGACTACCAGCATGGCGAACAACACACGCAACAGATTGCTGGAGAAGGGCAGACTCGTGGTACGTGGCTTTCTTACCCCGACAGTAATTCGCGCAAGCGTCCTGTACATGGGGATTCAGGTGTTCTTTAGTGTGGATACCTAAGTGGTAGAGGATCAGGAATGAAGCAGTCAATGAGTGTGGTAACCTTGCCAAGTCGGCACATACAAACGTCTTAAATCCAGACACAGACAGAGAGATAGGGAGAGAGAGAGAGAGAGAGAGAGAGACAGAGAGAGATAGAGAGGGAGGGAGAGAGAGAGGCATCAGCACCGGAAACCTTTGAGGCTCCATCTCGCAAAGCCCCGAGGCTCTTTATTCCCTATATCCTCAGACTTAGCTGCACTTCCGAAACCCCAATATCGCGCAGGAACCTTACGCAAAAAGCCGCAAGGCTTTGTAAGATTTAGCTTACACTGCCGCCAAAGGAAATGTGCGCTGAAGCCGGTAGTATCAAGCGCGAAACCCTAACAACACACATCTGCCTTTGTGCGAAGGCCAAGACTCGGCGTGGATGCCGAGCTCAGGACAGACCTGGATGATTGACATGTGCAAAGCATTTGCTCAACTTATCTATTTTCTTCATGTGCAAGCATACACATATATATATATATATATTTATATTTATGTGCTTATATATATGTATATGCGGGTATATGTGTATATGGGCACACATGTGTATGTATGTCTGTATGCATGTATGTACATGTACATGCATGTGACGTGTGTACATTGTAAATGTATATGTATGTACCCACGTATGTATACGTGTGTCTCTACGTCTTACGTGCATACATACGTACCTACATACATAAACAGGTGTATGTATGTGCACACATTGCTGTGCCGAACAATGATATGGCCTATGCTTTACAAACATTGACGTGACAAATGCAGGTCTGTATGTGTACATGTCTGCCTGTCTGTTTGCCCGCCTGCCTGTCCGTCTGCTCTCTGTCTCTTGTGTTGGTCTGTCTCTGGCTGTCTGATTGGCTGTCTGTCTGTTGTATGTATGCATTTGGGCAGGCATGTACGTAGCTATATACGTGGGTAAGTAGGTACGTATGTATGTATGTATGTAGGTGAGTATGTACGCTGTGAAGTAGGATCAGTGAGGAGGGGTAGGGGGTTCGGCCGTGTTCCCGTACAGATGCAGCATGCGGCTTGGAAACGTTTTGTATGGGAAGGCTGTACTTTCCCTGTGTCTCCAGTGCCAACGTGTGCTGTGGTAGTTGGCCAGCTCTGTTACTTGTAAATGCCGCTGACCCCCTTGCTCGGCTGGGACTGAGACCGTTCGTCCGTATGTATGCACGCACGTATGTATGTATGTATGCATGTATGTAATGCTACCCATATCGTACGTTCATGTATGAACTGTTGTTTCAGTTGAGCATATGTAGCGACATGTATGTCCCATGCTGCATACTTTCAAAAACGCCTTTTAGTGAGGCTCCCCCAGGAGCATACTGACGGATTCTCATCCAAGATACGGGCATGAAGACTATGGTGAACTAATCCTCATGGTTTCTGAATACTTGTTGTAGACACGAGTCAATTAGGTCATTGGCAGGAATGTTTGGTTTAAGCCATCAGAGCTTCGCGATACCGATGATGGAAAACCGGGGCCTTGTGTTCAACCCTCCATACATGCTACCACGAACCCAATATGTTTAAGCTTCAGGGAACCGTGAACCTTAAACCCTCAGAACAAGCGCTAAAGGAACCCTGAACACACTAGTAAGGCTACCCGGTATTCAGGCATTGGGTTCAGGATTTGCAAGGTTTAGGGTTTAGGGTTTAGAGTTTAGGGTTTAGGGTTTAGAGTTTAGGGTTCAGGGTTTGTAGGGTTTAGGGTTCAGCTTTAGCTTCTAAAGGGAACCCCTACTTTAATTATTAAGGCCCGACAGTATAGGGCCGTAACCCTTTCTTTTCCTTTCAGAGGTTTCGGACTTACCCCGAGACTCCAACATCCCTTAATGAAGGAATACTCCCTAAACCATACTAGGGATCCTACTATAAGTTAAGGTATCTTCCTTACTTAATGGGATATCGGAGTCTCTGGGCATGGGGTTTAGAAGGCTTCACCCCAAATCCTACCCCTTCGTCCTTTCAGAGTTTTCGGACCCGAAACCTGAAATCCTAAACTTGAGGGTTAAATCCCAAATCCCCAAAGACTCCTAAAAGGCGGACCCTAAACCGTAAACCCCTAAATCCCAAATCCCCAAAAACTCCTAAAAGGCGGACCCTAAACCCTAAACCCCTAGACCTTAAATCCCAAATCCCCAAAAACTCCTAAAAGGCGGACCCTAAACCTCTAGACCTTAAACCCCAAATCCCGAAGGGCGGATCTCAGGCCCCCCGCGAACCAAGCAAACCAAGATTGGAAGGGCGCACGTATTCCTGAGTTTGCTGCCCTCTGGGTCTCATTCGTTGAGGGTCTGAGGCTTCTGATAAGGGTCTTCAGGGTGTTGGGGGTGGGGTGAAGGGCCCAGAGTCTAGAGTCTTGGGGTTTCAAAGGATTTTAGTTTAAAGTTTTTGGAGTTGTGGAGTTTTTGCTTTTCAGAGCTTTGTGCATTAAGAGTTTAGGGCGTAGGTCCGAGGACTGAGAGGTTGGTTGCCGGGGAGGGAGCCCTGTTCCCTAAGGCGCTTCGTGTGCCAAGAAGGTCTATAAGACTGAGGCCTTAGAGATGTCCCTGTATTGTAGGTTTAGGGTTTTAGGGCTTAGGATTTAGTCTTTTGGATTTCGTAGGTACTTTAAGCTCCTCTTTCTTCTGCTCGTCCTTCGAGGGCGCTTTGTATTTCTGCGTCATCTCCTCCATCTTGTTGATCGACGACCGAATCCACTTTTCGAAAACCCGCTGCCGCCAAGTCCGACAACACTGCTGAAGGAGCGGGGACAACACACTGAAGGAGCCGAGTAAGCATCCAAGCCGGCTGTTCTCATCGCCGACCTGAAGTCGTTGGGAGCATGCAGTGCCCACCAGCGAAGGTGTGCATGCTGATGGATGACGTGATGCAGGGGGACCTGGCCGAAATGATGCACATATTGATGCTCAAGGATGTGCTACGAAAACAGCTCAATCTTTAAACGACACTCCGGCCTCAACCAACTCTTGCTTGTGTCCCTGATCCCTTGGGACCGGAACATCAAACACTCCTTCATTGAATCCTCGGGGAGCCCCCTGCCACTCGACACATTGATGAAACCCTAAACCCTAAACGATGGTGTAGGTTTCAGACTTCGGGGTTTGCCGAATCCACATTCTTGCGCTCGGATCTGGTGCTCCCGCGAACACTGACACTCATCTGGGAGTTTCTGTTAATAGGGGACCCTAATATAGTACTCGAAATAGTAGGATCCTTATTATCAGGACCCCAAAATACGGTACCCCTCATTTTCGGAAACTCCGAATTTGTTCTTGTAAAAATGGTGCCAGTTGCGAAGGGCGCAGAGGATCATGGAGCCTGGGGGTTCGGGATTCCCAAACTACGAATACCAAGCACCATCCCGTCTTCGGAGGTTCCAAACGCTCCCTACACCCTAGTTACTCCCTAGTTTTCCAAACCCCATAATCCGGAACCCCCCGAAACCCTGAACCCAGACAGCCCTGCACACCGAAAACATTGAAAGCCAAAACCCGGAAACACGTAACCTTCGGGGGTTCACAGCAGCTCTCGGATGGAAGAAGCCAGGAAGTTGGAAGAGCGGCATCCCGGGTTTGGGGTTTCGGGCTTATAAGGCTTACGGTTTAGGGTTTGGGGTGTAGGGTGGTTTAGTCGAAGGGGAAAAGGAGGGACCCTTAATGGGGACCCCTGCCCTATAATGGCTATATAACGGGTATATAATAGCTACCCCAGAGGTCCTTATTAAGGGTCCCTGCTTTTACCCTTGGATTTAGGGTTTAGGGGTTCAGAAGCTCGGATTATGGTTCAGGAAACTTAAACCATCCCAAACCCAAAGCCTCAAGAGTCCCTCAAGTAGACTTGGGTTTTGGGGGTTTATTATAGTTTTTAGTAACCTCCATCATTTTAGCATAATACCCCTCAGAATCCCTCAAGAGCGCACCATCGTTAGAGGAATGCGGACAAACTTAAGCGGGTGTTTAGGATTGGGTCAGTTCAAGGATGAGGGAGGGTTGTCTATATGGGAGGAGCGCGCTAGTATAGAACCTAGCGACCGTAGCATCGTTGTTGCAAGAATCTCAATACATGGGACCCGAGCCGTAAATCCTAAACCATACCGGTACTCTATAAAACCTGCCTGTCTAAGATTCCTCATTATGGTTTCTTCATATCAATCCTGCCAAAGTTCATTTGGGGCTAAGTTACACCCTCCTAGTAGACCCCCCGCTTCTTGTGTGGTTTATGAACGAACTTCGATTAAGGTTGTCAAAGATCCTGAGATACGGCAACCAGCAAGGAGTTGTATCTACGATGCCTGGCATGGATACTATAGGGGACCTCAATATTTACAGATTTAATACTGTTTCGGGGGTTCCTGATTATAAGTATAGTACAAGATGCCCCAGAACCCTATTCTAGTTATAAGGCCCCTATAGTACATTCTTGTAATAGCCCTTATAGACCCTGTAAAGGAACCCTTATCAAACCGTTTAAAGGAACCCTATTCTAATTATTAAGGCCCCTGTATTACTTGAGTTTAGTTCTTTTGCAAGAGCCTCTATCAACTTAGCGGACAGAAAGAAAGGAATGTAATATAGTGGTCTTAATACTTAGACCAAGGTTTTGGGGCCCACTATTCTATAAGTATAATGAGGAGCCCCCAAAATAGTATTGGCATTCATATATTAGCGTTCTTCTTCCAGTTCGTGTATAGAGCGTTGTACTCGTATCATACGGCTGATGATCGAAATCCTGCATTCCCCATGATAAGGAATATATCATAACTCCTATAGTTCAGGGTCCTTAAGGTAATGCGGGGTTTTTGTTATCAACCGTAGGGTCTCTAATGCCTGTACATCTCGACTCATATCGAGAAGCCTTTTGGCCTTCAGGTACATTCTACAATCATTGTAGGGCCAGAGGCAGCGTCCGAAGCCATAAGCATATCCGAACCCTAACACGCTAAAACCGCCCTACCCTAAACCCTAAACCCTACACCCTAAACCCTAAACCCTAACACGCTAAAACCGCCCTAAACCCCATGAACCTGCCAAGCACTTAGCCCTAAATCCGAAACCCTGACACCCTAACACTCTGAACTCCATAAGACCCCAACCCTAAACCCTAAACTTTAAACCCTAAACCCAAAACCCTAAACCGAAAACCCTAAATCCAAAACCCAAAACCCTAAACCCAAAATCCTAAACCCTTAAGCCAAGTGCATGCGAGAAGCAGACGGGAAAGCCCCAAAAGGAGATTCTTTGCTCCTGGAAAGCTTTCGACGCTACGGTTGATAGACAAAATCCTAGGGTTCCTTTAAAGGGATCTATAAGAGGGGCTCTTTTAAGGGATCTATAGGGGGTTTACGGTTTAGGGTTGATGATATAAATCCTGCATTACCCTAAGGACTCTAAACTATGGGAACTATGGTATATTCCCTATAATGGGTCATGCAGGATTTTGTCCATCGTAGTGGGGTTGAGGGTCTGCGATGTTGTGGGGGCTTGGTGCGGTCTCGTGTTCGGGGTGTATAGGGTTTCGGGTTTAGGATGTGGTGTTTTTGAAGCAGTAGTTATTTTGAGACATCGTACCTTTGATTCCTTTCCGGGATTTGCGGGGTCGTGCAAGGGGAGAGGTCGGTATCTTGCTTACTATGCCGGGTCTATGTAGGAAAATCTTTGCCGCACCTGGTAGGCTCTTGCTGCCTGAAGGGCTTGGAAAAATCAAGGCTCCATTGGGGATTCCATTTAGCAACACACATGCTGTGCCTTGTCAGAGACCCCCCAAAAAGAAGTCTCACTTTGGTCTTTCCTGGTTGAAGGCCCAAGGCTTCACGGCTCCTAGGGTCGCAGGGTTCAGAAGATGATAGCTTTGGGCTTAGCGTTTAGGACCGGTTAAGACCAAGGGTGTGCATCCACGAGGGAGTTGCGAGAAGCGCTGAGGTCGCAGACACTGCGGTTCAGGCGTCGCCTTCGCAAGTAGCTCACAGCAAGTAACCAGACATCCTGCGGCTGGAGCACACTGCAACAAAAAAAACATGGGCGGCCTTTGCCGCGAGCCTTGAGGCCCCCTTATGGCTACTATTACAATTACTATTACTGTTACTATTTCCATTTCCATTACTATCATTACTAATATTAGTATTGTTATTAGAGTGTGCCGCTGCACCACTCCCGTTCAAAGCCGGCTCCGCACCGCGGCTGACGAGACCGTTTTTCAAGCAGTGCATGAAAAAACATCAGAGCTTTCGGTTCCTTTGGAAGCAAAACCGGGATATCCCAAACCCTGCTGAGAGGAACCGGCATCGGCACTCAGGCCCCGGGTATGCAAAAAAATACCTAGAGGTAACTGAAGTTCACCGTCTAACTGCCAGAGCCACGGTTTAGGGTTTAGGGCTTAGGGTTATACTATAATCATCAACCCTAAACCCTAAACCCCTAGCCCCAACCGTAAACTCTACACTCAACCGAAGATGTGAGCAGTGTATCGATGTTGGCGTGTGTGGAGCTCTATGGTGAACCCTGGACGGGTCTTGAAGCCCTACGATATGAATCCTGCATTACCCATACTAAGGAATATACCATAATTCCTACGATTTATGTCCTTACTTAAGGTAATGCAGGATTTATACCCTCAACAGTAAGACCATCAGTTGGAAGTGATGACCTAATGCCAGCACTAGGCAGGCAGAACAGGAACCCTCCATGGGCCCAGACTGGACCTGCAGACATATGGGGGTTTCCGAAAATAGGGGACCCTAATATAGTACCCTAAATAGTAGGATCCTTATTATAAGGACCCCAAAATAAGGTACCCCTAGTTTTCGGAAACTCCCATATGTTGCAGGGGCTGTATCACTAAACCCCACCTAGGACACAACTGCCTTAGTCATTGCAGTCTAGTTCCGCGGCAACCACTGAAAAACACAAAATGCCAGGTCAAAAAAACGAGACAGGACTCATGGCTACTTGTACTGCTGGACAACCTCCTACACCCGAAGCCCCGAACCCTACCTTGATGGCCTTGTTGTAACTATAGGTCCTTATAGGTATTGGGCCATTGCTTACCTACTTTTCAGGGTTTCGGTACATGTTCATGGCTCCTCCATGATCCCTGCACCATGGCGCTTGCTGGTTGGCGCCGTTGTGGTCTCTGGACTTCGCTGCTAATGGACGCAAGGGTAGTTCTGGGCTTAAGCTCTTGGTCGACTATGGCCGGAATATTTACAGTAGAGCATATGATAGCATAGTCTTTGCGGGTGCTACAAGGACTGTGACGGGATACCGTTCATGATTATGCAGACCTTTAAACGCTTTAGGCTTGCGGCTTGAGGGTTTAGCTCCGATCCTGCATGCAAAGGATTCAGGTAGATAATCAATTACGCTAAACCCTACACCCTAAACCCTGAACCTTCAAGTTCTTCATTCTGGAGACTCTTCGAAGCATATGTGACCTTCCTTTCGGCCAAAGGCAGCTGCGAAAGCACATGAACGGGAATTCGAGAGGAAATAACATAACTGAACGGTGAGGGTTTAAGGTTTGGAGATTATGGGTTTCGCGTTCCGTGAGATGGGACCCGACCAAAAATCAGAAGAAACAGTGGGTTTAGGGTATAACCCTAAACCCTAAACAGTTACCAACAATCCCAATCAGCCATAGGGTATAGGGTTTGGGGTCCCTAAACTCTAAACAGTTACCAACAATCCCAATCAGCCATACCTATATCCGTCCAACTTATCAAACCTGGGCACAGCCGATTTCTCTCAGCCGCTGCCCAGCAGCCCAGAATGATTCAGGGCCTAGGGCCTAGGTTTTTTTCGGGTTTAAGCTAAAATACATTAAACTCCACGCTTACCCAAAACCCCCTGCTCTCTGAAGCCTCAACCTTCCTCATCTTAAAGGCCTGCCCGCATTCCGCTGTAGAACTACCTAAGCTCTCCGAAACTCCGGGATCTTCAAGTCCGGTAGAATGTGGGAGTTTCCAAAAATAGGGGACCCTGATATAGTACCCTAAAAGGTAGGATCCTCATTATAAGTATAAGGACCCCAAAATAAGGTACCCCTAACTTTCGGAAACTCCCACGGGAGCACCTCGAACAAGGAAACTCGAGCAGGTCCGTAGGACTGGCCTGTCAAATACGGTTGATGATATAAATCCTGCATTACCTTAAGGACCCTAAACTATGGGAATTATTGATTATGGTCTATTCCTTATTATGGGTAATGCAGGATCTATATCATCAACCGTAGGTACCTTAAACCTTAAGCACTAAACCCTTAAAGGGACCCTTGTAAATCCCTTAAGGGATCCCTTATGTGGTAACTTAAACTAAGTTTCCTAACAAGAACCCAAGTTCCCAAAGACTCCAATATCCCTTAAATAAGGAATATACCTTGAACTATAGCAGATTCCCTAATGTGATTTAAGGAATATTCCTTAAACAAGGGATAGTGGATCTCTGAGCTTGTTGGGCACCTTACCCGCTACAGAAAAAACATAATGAAAGGATTGTGTGCTGAAAGCGTTTGATGCCAAAGGTCCGAATGCCTAGGGAATGCACCTGTCGCACTGTGTTGCTTTTTATCGAATCGATATCGCACGCCGTGCGAGCATCGTCACAGCAGCGGCGGGAATGATTGCATGGCTGGGCGTCTCGGAAAGAACCGCCAGTGACAAACAAAGCCAGCCAAAAATGCCGGGACTGCCACTGCCACCGCAGCCGTTGTGATAGCTGTCGCTCCTTACATCTCGAGTCCAGGGGTTGAGATTTGAAGCTTCAGACGGCCGAAAACATCAAGGAGCCCCACGTCGTTAACTGGAACCGGAGGACCAACATCTATTTACAGGGTCAGGACCTCTACTCAACGGTTGTAGGAATCTTCGTCCGTCCATGTTCAATCAAGTCGCCGGTAGCGCTGTCAACGCTGGCTCGAAGCGGTCCTGAAGGCACCCATTGTTCAGAACCTAAAGCATGGAGCCTCAAAGGCCATTACTCTATACATCTCTACAGTCTAAAGCCTAACTTTACCTAACCCAAACCCTTATAGGCTAGAACAGACTATAGAGTCCTTCTGAATCCAGATTAAACCCCTGCGGGATCCGGGTTTTTCCAAAGTCAAGCACTGCTAACTCCTGTTCCTTACTATAGTTATAGTATAATATACCCCGAACCCGGATCTAATTATAAAGGCCCCTACAACTTCTACAGAGCCCCTTTTTTGACCCGTGTCAGTCATAGCAGCCCTTGACCCCGACTAGTGAATCTGATAAGACCACTAAGGGTTCCATTCAGTCATTCACTGCTCCTTCTCGGTTCCCTTTAGGCATTCGTTTGAAGGAACCCTTAAGGGAGCTCTAAACAGAGCCCTAAAAGGATCCCTTTAAAAAACCCTTCGGGGGCCCGGGAAAGAAGCCAAGATAGTCCTGCGGACTCTACCGCAGAAGCATCGATAGCTTCCTCCGGATGGAAGCCGGCCAAAGAGCCTCTAAGAATGGAGGGTTTAGGGCTCAGGGATTAAGGATTAGGGATTATGGTTTATCATAGGGTTGAAGGATTAGGGATTAGGGTTTAGGGATCAGGGAGGTTTGGGCTATAGGGTTTCTAGGGTCATAGGATTTAAGAATAGAGGGGGGATTTGGGAAGCTTTGCTGCTAGTATAGTGTGTTGGATACGGGTTCAGGCTTTGAGGTGTCAGCTTTAGGAGCATTTCGGAAAGTATACGGCTATTGACACACGACACGTAGATAAGATCAAGCAGCGTTCTGCATGAGGATTTCATACAAGATACGAGACTTAGGCTACGAGGGTCTGGAGGTTCGGGTGTTAGGTGGAGCTGAGGTTCAGGGCTTCGGACTGAAAGGCCTAGGATTTGATTAGGATGTAGGGTTATATCCGTTGTAGTGCATAACTGCCATCTTGCTTAAGGCTTAGGGCTTAGGGTTTAGGATCCACGCCAAGACCCTGGAGTTGCAGCACCCGGTTCTGAATCACGTGGGTTATGGTTATGACATTGAGGGTCCACGTACTCATATAGTAGTATACACTGTAATCCTTCTGTAGGTTCTTTGGGGGCAAAGTAACTATTTATTATTGGGGCACATGGACTCCTGGGATGACATTCAGGAAACCAGAGTAACAGGAACTATGTTCGAGGGTCCAGGTGGGCTTGCAATAGGCTCCCGAAGACCACGATACATTCAAGGATCTTACAACGGAGGCTTCGTTCAATGCCCTTCTTTGACTTTAGGCGGGTGCCTATACTCCAGTCGTAGGATCAAAGTGTTCATGTGCCCCTTGCTAGTCTTAGACGGCACTCCTGGAACGAGATTGCTTGAGCTTTCTTCTAGATAGATCTTTCGCGATCAGCCTGCTTCCTCACGGGCAAGGAATTCACCGACCACATCATTCATCAGGCGCGGGTCGTCAATCCTGGGAACGACTGGTGAAGTGCCCCAAAACTACGGTCCTTACAACACACTTGTTTACCTAGCTTTTTCGGAGCTAACGGGGCTCAGGGGATCCAAATGGAAGCCCAACAACTCTAAACTGCCCACAGGCTCCTCAGCACCGGCCACAGAAGTTCACCGGAACCCCCTCTTACCAACAGTATGTTTCATCGTACAGCTTTCACTGAAGCATAAACCTGCCTGTGTTTGCTACTGCCGTCAACTGGAAGAAATTCTACACCTTAAGCCTGAATGCGCGAAAAAAAGGATCATTAAGGAGACAAGGTTTTGGACGTATATCACCGAATAAGCAAAAAAATCAGGAGCCCGAAGGAACAGTGAACAGCTCTCCCTCAACGAGCACAGCTAGTGCTCTCTCCATCTAATAAACCCCGAACCCTGAACCCCTAACCCCCTAAACCCCTGAACCCTAAAACCTGAAACCCTAAACCCTGAAACCCTACCCTGAAACCCTAAACCCTGAAGCTTAAACCCCAAATCCTAGACCCCAAACCCGAAACCCAGAAATCCTAAACCCCTAAAGCCCTAAGGCTCTCCGAGACTCATCGAGACGTGGCCAGATCTGGGCATCATGGCCTTCCAGACGTGCGGCAGGTTCCTTGGAGCTTGGGTTTCGAGTTTGGGATGTAGGGTTAATAGGGTTTAGGGTTTAGGGTTTAGGGTTTAGGGTTTAGGGTTTAGGGTTTATTAAGGTAAGACCTGATCCCGATCCACACCTGGACACCCACGTCCAGACAGCAATAGTAACTCAGTGTGTTCGAGCAGAAGTGAAGGGATCGGGTGCAGGGTCGGAGGCTGCGGAGCTGGAGAAAGGAAGCCTGAGGATTCCTCTTAGTCTTACCGGTTTAGGCTTTAGGGGTCTTTTGAGTTGAAGTCTTACTTTAACCCCAAATAATCTACCGGACTTATATAACAAAACAAACACAGGAATGCTGTTTTGAGGTCCAGGTATGTTCCCAACAACCCAACGACAAGGCCAGAACAAGCAGGCTGTATGACCCCCAAGCCCCACCACACAAATCCCCAAACCTTAAGCCTTCAACCCGTAAGAAAAAGCCCATGTCCCTGCAACAAAATGGAACACCCTAACTACAAAACCAGGATTTGGGAGTTTGCGAAAATAAGAGGTACCTTATCTTGGGGTCCTGATAAAAAGGATCCTACTACTATTTAGGGTACTATATTAAAGGAACGGTGAGGGTCCCCCTATTTTCGGAAACTCCCAGATTGAACTGGGAAGATGAAGCAGGGTGTTGTTTGCGAGTATCGCAAAAACCAAGTCCAACGTACACACTCACCACTCTCTTCTTCAACAGCCGGGTCCCAAAAAGTTCAAACTTAAAAATAGAGAGCTAACATATAAGGCCAAAAAGTTCCCCGTTCACTAACTTAGAGGACCATCGTCCTCAGAGCCCTGTTTTCACGCTCACCAAAAACTTACCCTGTGAGGCTTGGGGTTTTGGGAGGGTGCCGGCTTCGGGGTTTAGGGTTTAGGGTACAGGGGTTGGGGTTTTGGGTTTAACATCGTAGTAAGTCCTAAACCTTAAACCCCAACCCCTAACCCCCTAAACCCTCAACCCTAAACCCCTAAAACCCCTAAAACCCTCAACCCTAAATCCTAAACCCCTAGTAAGTCCTAAACCTTAAACCCTTA